CTAGTGGGTGGAGCCCCAGAAAAGCCCTGGTGCTGGACTTCTGTGGGGGTGTGGACAGCTGTTCTCTCTGGAGTAGTGTCTGCATCTACAGAATCTCTCTCTCCTCCCCTCTCTCTCTGTACACACACACACACACACACACACACTGAGAACCCAGAGACCACCTGTCAAGGACAGGACTAAAAGGCATTCAAAGCATCGCTGAACAACTGACCACACCAGAGAGGCTGGACGGAGTCCTCAGTGCAGCCGGGCGGGGCTGGGTGGTTCTTAGAGAAGCAAGTGCAGTCCAAGAGAGCAGCAACAGGCACAATCCGTGCTGGGTTCAGGCACTCAAACGGGGTCTAGAGGTGGGGGACCCCAAACCCAGGGCCGAATGTCCCATCAGTAGGGAAGGAGCTCTCCTCCTCTGGCAGAACGCAGCTCCGACCTCCCCTGAGGCTCTCAGGTGGCTGAGGGTGGACCAGGGCCCACAATGCTGGTTGTGACCAGGAAGGCGTCTGAGGCTGCCCCAGGGACACAGGCAGAGTGCGGGTTCACTTCACCTGCCGCCTGCTGTTGCCTCTCACTTCCCTCCCTGTAAATTCTCTCCAGCCCCCACTCCCTGCAGCCCGCCTTGCCTGAGTGCTCAATGCCGGGAGGCCCATGCGGCCCAGTGCAGGCCTGCAGTGAAATCGGATCAGACTCAGCCGGGGGAGAACAGCTGGGTGCTGCGGCGTCCCACGGTGGAGGCTGATTTTGGGGACCAGACAGTGTTGTTTGCCTGGTGGTCCTCGCCAGGCTGAACGGAAGGCCTGGTTCTACCACCCGAGAGCACACACAAACCTCCGGGCCGAGGACCAGAACCACAGTGTTCTGGTGAGGGAGCGGTGGTGGTGTGGCCTTGGCGGGGTCTCAGGGAGTCGTTCTCCTGGCGCTGTGGAGCAGGTGATTTCCACCTGAGCACCCACCGCCTCGTGCTCCCCTCCAGCAAATGAGAACACGGACGCCTGCCCTGTGCAGCACAGCGAGGGCCTAAGGTTTCCCTCCTCACTGTGGGCAGGGCTGCTACGCATTCGTTACGAGGCTGGAAGAGGGGCAGGCATTCAGCTCCCTGGTTACACTGCTCCTTGCGAGGCCCCTGTCCCTATCAAAGTGCCCGGTTCCAGTCCCGTCTGCTCCACTGCTGGCCCCGCTTCAGCTAATGCACACCCCGAGAGGCAGCAGCTGATGGTTCCTGGCGTTGGCATAGCCCAGCCCTGGCCCTTGTGGGCATTTGGGGAGTGAACCCATGAATGGGAGATCTCTTTCTGTCTCTCTGCCTTTCAAATAAATCAAATCGGTTAATTTTTAAAAAGAGGCAAGAGCAACACAAAACTAGCAAGAGAACAGAAAAACCAGGTTCCAAATACATAAATAACAAAATCCAAATGGCCAAAGAACTTGGGGAGTTGTTTAATCTTACCGCACACGGGCAAATTAAAATCTAATGACTGTGAATTTCAGTCACCAATGGGGAATCAACGTTAAGATGCTGCTCATTCTCAGTGAGGCTTTGGGGAACCAGGTAAGGGTCTGTGTGGGGCATGTGGTCATAAGTGATGTCTCCCTGGAGGGATGTGGCTGTCCGGCAGTCTCCTCCCTAGCCTAGGGGTTCCAGTTGTACACTCTTCTCATGACCCTCTTTGAACAGAGTCCTAGAAGTTAAACTAGGCTTTAGGATGTGAGAAAATACAAAAACTTAAGTGAAATAAGATACAGGTTTTAAGTCAGTGTTTTCAATGTGATCACACTATTGTTAAGCAGTTTATGATAGATACCAAAATGTCCAAAGCGGTTGTATTTGGATGATGATTGAGATAGTTTTTATTTTCTCTGTCTTTTTTACATTTTATAAAGCTTCTACTTTTCTAAAAAATGATTTATTTATTTATTTGAAAGTCAGAGTTACACAGAGAGAGAAGGTGAGGCAGAGAGAGAGAGAGAGAGAGAGAGAGAGAGAGGTCTTCCATCCTCTGGTTCACTCCCCAGTTGGCTGCAATGGCCAGAGCTGGGCTGATCCAAAGCCAGGAGCCAGGAGCTTCCTCTGGATCTTCCACGAGGATGCAGGGGCCCAAGGACTTGGACCATCTTCTACTGCCATCCCAGGCCATAGCAGAGAGCTGGATCAGCAGTGGAGCAGCCAGGACTCGAACTGGCGCCCATATGGGATGCTGGCACTGCAGGCGGCAGCTTTACCCACTACACTACAGCACCGGCCCCTACTTTTTTTTTTTTTAAAGATTTATTTACTTATTTGAAAGGTTGGTATGCAGAGAGGAGAGAGAGAGAGAGAGAGAGAGAGAGAGAGAAAGAGAGAGGGAGGCGAGATCTTCCATCCACTGGTTCATTCCCCAGATGGCAGCAACAGCCAGGACTGAGCCAGGCTGAAGCCAGGAGCCAGGAGCTTCTTCTGGGTCTCCCACATGGGCACTGGGGCCTAAACACTTAGGCTGTCTTCTGCTGCTTTCCCAGGTGCAGTAGCAGAGAGCTGGATTGGAAGTGGAGCAGCCAGGACTTGAACCAGTGCCCATATGGGATGCTGACACTGCAGGCTGAGGCTTAACCTTCTACGCCACAGTGCCAGCCCCAAGCTGCTACTATTCTAACTTAAAATTTTACTGTAAAAAAACAAACAAACAAACAAAACCCTTAAACAACAGAAAACTCCTGCCTTGCATAAATTAGTTGACAAATCAATGGGAAAGAATTTTTTAAAGAATTCAGAAATGACCTAATGACATATGAATGTTTGGATTGTGATAAAGGAGGCATTTCAAATCAGTGAGGGAAGCTGGATTATATGAGGGTACTTTGGAAAGTTCATGGACAGGGTGGGCGTTTGGCACAGTGGTTAAGACGTTGCTGGGGGCACCTGCATCCCACGTAAGAGTGCCTGGTTCGCATCTCAGCTCTTTGTTTCTGATCCAGCTTCCTGCTAATGTTCACCCTGGGAGGTAGCAGGTAGCTCTAGTACTCGGGTCCCTGCCACCCGTGTGGGAGATGTAGATTGAGTTCCTGGCTCCTGGCTATAGCCTGACCCAGCTCTGGCTGTTGTGGGCATTTGGGGGATGAACCAACAAATGGAAGATTTCTCTCTTTTTCTGTGTCTGTGTGTGTGTGTCCGTCTGCCTTTCAAATTAAAAATGAAATTAAAAAAAATTTTAAATAAAAGTGCATGAAGAAATGGAATTCCAAGATATTTATTTTGGTACAAAAATTTTCAATTAATAATTTTTTCATAATGACGCTCATGAACTTTCTGGAGGTCTCTCGTGTGCGTGTATGTAAAAAATGGAATCCCAAATGAGCCAGAAAGGGACTGGGAGAATTTTCAATACATTCTTCATGTAAAAGGCTGTATAGGGATGGGTTTTGGAAACACAGAACAGAGCTCAGAAGCCATGGGAAGAACAACTGACACATTTAACTGTCATTTAAAAACAAAATCCATATTGGCAAAAAACAAAATAAAATTACAAAAATAGGAGCACATTTTAAAGTTAAGTGAGAAAACTTGCATAATACTTGGAATTCCCCTTCCATGGTGGGAGGCTGAGGGGTGTGAGGGGTATTGTCCCCAGCTGCTGGGGCCCACCTGTGTCTCTTAGGACTCCCTGGGGTCCATCAGAGTTTACTCCCACGTCCCAGGGGCAGCATCTCGTGCTGGCTCGGGGCAGGGAGGGTAGGGATGGGTACAAAGCCCAGCCCCTTTGCCTTGATGAGGTACAACTCTGCCATCCGGTGCAGATGGAATCCTGAGAACCGCCCTCAACAGACCCTTGTGTGTGAATCTCCCGCTGAGCCCACCTTCCAGGGAGCCAACATAAAGAACATTTCCAAGTTAATACAAAGAGGCCAACACAGGACATGATCTTGGCTAGTCACTGAAAAGAAGCACAAGTAGCTAGCTCTCCAGTGAGTTAGAAATGCAGCCATTTCACCAATCTGTTGGCAAAATGCCGGGGTTTGTGGCACACTTGTTGGTGAGGCCATGGGGGAACAAGCACCCTTGGGGACATTGCTAAGCAGGTGCAATTGGCTATAGCTTTTATGGGATCAATTTAAGAATCTCTATCAAAATGAAAAATGCATACTGTTTGACCCAGAAATTCCATTTATAGGAATTTAATCTCATGCCCCAATGGAAAAAAATCATACATATGCAAGATGTTTGTTGAAGCACTGTTCATACAAGCAAGAGCTGGTAAACAACTTCAATTCCCATTAATTGAGCTGGTTAAATAATTTATGACACATCCACACGTTGGTGATGCAGTCAGTAAAGTAAATGGAACATCCTTACAGGAATCGATTTGCCGGGACCTCCTGATAATGCAGTTAGTGGGATGGAAGATTTATTTATTCTTTTAAAAGATTTTTAGTTATTTGAGAGGTGGAGTTACAGACAGAGAGGAAGAGACAGACAGAAAGGTCTTCCATCTGCTGGTTCACTCTCCAAATGGCTGCTAAGGCCAGAACTGGGCCGATCTGAAGCCAGGAGCTTCTTCCGGGTCTCCTACTTGGGTGCAGGGGCCCAAGCGCTTGCTTTCCCAGGCCATAAGTGGAGAGCAGGATTGGAAGAGGAGCAGCCGGGACACAAACCGGCACCTGTAGTGCCAGCCCTGAGGATTTATTTAATTTTGTTTTCAATTCGTTTGAGAGGCAGAGACCGAGGGACAGAGACTGACAAACAGTGAGAGAGCATCCATCTGCTGGTTCACTTCCCAAATGCCTGCAACGGTTGGGGCTGGGCCAGGCTGAAACCAGGAGCTCGGAACTCAGTCTGGGTCTCCCACGTGGGTGGCAGGGACCCAACTACTTGAGCCGTCACCTGCTGCCTCCCAGGGCGCTCACTAGCGAGAAGCTGGATTGGGAGTGGAGCTGGGAATCAAACCCAGGCGAATGCACGTGGGACACAGGTGTGTTGACCGCCAGGCCAGCTGTAGAGCAGTGCACATCATGAACTACCGTTTGGAAATAAGGCGTAAAACCAAAGACAAAGGAAGCACACGTAGAGGTGGTGTGGGACGCTGGGAAAGCTGCCGCCTCCTGGAGGAGGAGGGGCAGAGACTGAGCGCACCATGCGTCCTCTGTGTGTGGACATGGATTCTGTGTTCGGCATTTGTGAGAGCAGCCATTGCCTCTGCAGAGTGGGGAAGGGACCCTGCACGTGCCCCTGGGCAGGGCGCCCCGTGTGGCGTCTGATGCAGCAGATGGCTGCTGGGCCCCTGTGTCTAGTGACACGTGGGGAACGAGACCTTGTCTAAGTGGAGGATTCAGGAGATCTGCAGCACCTGTGGATTTCTAAAAAACATTTATTTACTTGAAAGTCAGAGTTACCAGAGAGAGAAGGAGAGGCAGAGAGAGAGAGAGAGAGAGAGGTCTTCCATCCGCTCGTTCACTCCCGGATGGCCACAACGACCGGAGCTGTTCTGTTCTAAAGCCAGGAGCCAGGAGCTTCCTCCAGGTCTCCCACGCAGATGCAGGGGCCCAAGGACTTGGGCCATCATCTACTTTCCCAGGCCATAGCAGAGAGCTGAATCAGAAGTGGAGCAGCCGGGATTTGAACCAGTGCCCATATGGGAGGCCGGCACTGCAGGCAGCGGCTTTACCCGCAGCGCCGGGCCCACCTGTGGATTCTGAGTCCTATTTGAATGAGAGGCTGGGGGATTGTGGCTTAATTTTCCCCACTGCGCCTGTGCTGCAGTCTTTCCCCTCACACAGACCCTGATTTCCAGGAGCTGTGAGTGCCACAACCGCATTTGCAGGCTGCTCTTTGCCGAAGAGCCCTGGGACCTCAGGGCCACCCGCCATGTTCTCCCTGCTTCCGGGACCCACTCCTGGAGGCAGAGCCCATCTTGGGGTGGCCTCAGGCCTGTGGGGTGCAGGGCTTGTGCCTGTGACTCCTGCTCCCCCGAGCATCCCAGGAACCTTCCCCGGCTGCCATGGGGCTGGAAGTGGACCCTCTCCGTACACGGGGGCGCTCTCCCCACCTGGGGCGTGCTTTGTTGGAGGTACTGAGTGGCCCACGTTCCACTCTGCAGAATCAGGTGACCCCTGGAAAGTGGAGATGAGTTTAGGAGCCCAGTGCGGGCTGGGAAGCTTGTAGGAACCGGCTCCACCCTGAGTTCACGGCACGCTCTCTGCCCCTCAGGTGATCTGTGACAAGATATTTCGCCATTGGTTCTCCACAACGCTCAGGGACTCTGCTGTGCCACTCCAGCGCCAGCTGCAGCTACGGGAGGCAGTGCGGGAATGCGCAGGCCCCACGCGGAGCTCCGGGAGAGCAGCCCCCAGCGTGTTCTGGAAGCTTCGCCGGCTCCTCCAGGCCACGCTGAAGGAGCTGCAGGAGGCGGACAAGTAGTCACTTCCCGGCCTGACCGCCGGGGCATTTTGTCTGCGGCTGTTCTTCAGATGAGACATTTCACTGTGGGACGACTGTCTCGGACCTCACATGAGACATTTCACCGTGGGACGGCTGTCTCAGATCTTACATGAGACATTTCACCGTGGGACGGCTGTCTCAGATCTCACATGAGACATTTCACCGTGGGGACGGCTGTCTCAGATCTCGCCGCCGTCTCTGAAGTGTGAGCTCACCCAGTGCCTGGGCCGTGTGGTAGGACTTGCTGTGACGTGTGCACCGCCCTTGCTCTGTCCTAGCCTCGGCCCCCAGTAAAGCGGAGCCAGTGTGCTCTTGGCGGGCTCCCAGCAGGCACAGCCCCGAGGCGGTTACTCTGTGAGTCCTTGTCTGGCCTCCCTGGGCGAAGAGGTCTGGCTGCTCTTACCTAGAAACAGTTACGTTTACAATGGTGTGTGCACACAGGGAGTGAGCTCAGGGGTGTCTGCTCGTCCATGAGCGACAGAGTGTGTGTTCCACTGTGAGCCATGCACGGGTCTTGCATGGGTGTCACGTGAGTGTGCACACGCAAGAGCAGGTGCGTGGGAGCGTGCGTCTGAGAATGCACGTGTGTGTGTTTTGCAAGGCTGTGAGTGTGCATGTAGGCAGGTGGGTGTGGGCATGTGTTTGGGGACAGGAGGTGGTTTTGCTAGTTTGTGTTCAGGCGATAGCCTGCCTGGCTGGCAAAGGAGTTTCTTTTCTTTTGGAATAAAAAGCATCAAGAAGCAGAAATCTGCGTCTTGAGGGAAGGTGACTTGCGTGGAGAGTGTGGAACGGCAGCCTCGAGTTTTCACTGTGGAGTCCACCTTTGCCACCCATTGCAGAACCTGTTGCCTCTGAGCAGGGAGTTCTGGGTGGTGGTGTTTGGCTGAACGTGGAGTGCCCACAGGCAGGTGCACAGAGCAGCCTTCCCGGGGCCTGGTGAGGACTGACTCCCAGGCACCCAGGCATGCTTTGGCGTGGCAGTGGCTGAGAGCCACAGGACACAGATGGTACCGGTACCAGCACCCACGGGGGAAGATACGTGTGCAGCCTGCTCCTTAAAGGGACCTCATTCCACCCATATCTGGGCCCTGTGACTACTCTGTCAACTGGTCACCCCTCTTCAGAAGTGACATGATGGGAAATTGAGAAAGGCGGTAGGAGATGATAAGGAAATTGTGTTGGTGGTTTACCCATTACAGAAGACAGCCAGAATGAAATCTTAAAAAACCACTGCTTGACAAGTTCCATACGACTTCTCTTCTTACTCCCAGCCCCCATCTAATCCAGACACAGGGGACCTTCCTCCTCAGGTTCTTTGGGATGAGTTTCTGTCTATGCACCTGAGAGGTAACGCATTGGGGAGCAGAGGGAGCGGGGTCCCCACCAGCCCTGACTGCTCGTCTGTTGTCCCCTGTCCCGGCCATCCCACCCCTCGGCCATCACCACTGGCAGTTCTCCCTGTGATACTGAGGGTCGTGGAGGCTCTCCCTGATCCTGTATGTGAAGCGCTTCCCTGTGCTTGTATGCTTTGGTGGGAAGGAAGAACCTGCGGCAGGCAGTGTTGGGGCAGAAGTAACTTAAAACCAAGGTCTGGTGCCAGGCCAAGGCTGGGCAGAGGGGGCTGTGGTCTGTGTGGAAGCCCTGTGCCGGCTTCCTGCAGGGCTGAGGGTCCCGGGGAACCCCACGCGGCCGCTGGGTGGGTTCTTTGACATGAAAATATTAATGAAAACATGGGCAGGGGAGCAGTGGCCGCAGGGGCTTTGCTGGCTGTGTCCTCCAGATGGTCACCAAGTGCGCTGTGGGCTCCAGCAGGTCCCTGGTGCGCTGACCCTGGGGCTGGGCCCTGCTCGAGGGGCTCCCAGCTCAGGGCTGGCAGCACAGCCAGCTCGGGGCAGGGAGGAAGTCAGTTCTCATGGAACCAAAATGGAAACCAATGTTTTTGTTTACTGTGGAGACCCTGCGGTCTGTGGTTACCCAGTGCGGCGGTGGTGTCATTGCCGATGCGTCTCTGCCTTGTGTCTGCCTGCCAGTGGCACACTCGGCACACACCTCTCCCTCCCCTCCAGAGAACTCCTGCCAGTCACTCACTGCCTCTTAACACTGTTGGGCGTAAGGCTGAGCTTTCTTTAACTACTCACGTCCTCCCAAAATGATGCTTTAATGTGACACAATAAACAAGCACTGTGTGTATCAGTATTCAATTTTTCAACGAGACAATGAGATTGCTTCTTGCTGATGGACTTGGGCAGTGACTCTACTCATGGGGACAATGTCTGCCTCACTGATTTCTACGTTTTGTTTCAATTATGTGCATAGTAGACCAAACACATCCCTAGATACATCGATGGGGATTTTTTTGAAAAGATTTTATTTATTTATTTGAGAGAATTACAGACAGTGAGAGGGAGGGAGAGACAGAGAGAGAGGTATTCCATCCACTGGTTCACTCCCGAAATGGTCGCAACAGCTGGAGCTGAGCCGATCTGAAGCCAGGAGCCAGGAGCTTCTTCCAAGTCTCCCACGTGGCGGCAGGGGCCCAAGAATTTGGGCCATCTTCCCTGCTTTCCCAGGTCACAGCAGAGAGCTGGACTGGAAGCAGAGCAGCCGGGACTAGAACTGGCGCCCATATGGAATGCCGGCACCGCAGGTGGAGGATTGATCTACTGAGCCACAGTTCCAGCCCCTGGGGAATTTTAAAAAATGTACTTATTTATTTGAAAGGCAGAGTTACAGAAAGAGAGGGAGGGAGAGAGGGAGAAGGAGATTTTCCATCTACTGGTTCATTTCCCAAATGGCCACAATGGCTGGGGCCAGACCAGGCTGAAGCCTTTATTCATGGAGCTTTAGAAAGCAGCAGGTGTCACCGCTGCCGCTGGTGGAGCTCGCTCTGTTCCCCATCCCCTGACACGGAGCTGCCGCGTAGCTCAGGCTGCCGCGAGGGCTTGGGTGCAGACGCAGGTGCTGATGTTCTTCGGAGGCGGTAGACAGACCCGGTGAGGGGCCCACTTCCCAGGTCCCCCCCAGCAGACTCTATTCCCAGAAGGGCTGAGCTGGCCCCCGTGTCCACTCTGTGGCCGCTGGTCCTGGCTGGCAGGTTTGCTGGGGTCTTCCTTGCTGCAGAGAGCGGGTGGCTGCAGGCTGCCGTCCGTGGATGCTGGGCTCTCCCCCGTGCTGCAGCCAGCGCCAGGAGCTTTCCGGATTGACAGTGCCCGTGAGTCTCCCCGAGGAAGACTGCATTCCTCCTCACCAGAGGGCACGGAACACGCTCACTTCCCGCTAGTGCTGGGAGTTCTTCGTTGGTTCTCTTTTTGACTATTAATGAAGCTGGGGAAAAACGCAGCTGTTGGAGTTTGCGGTTTCGTTATCACCGGTGAGGCCTGTTCACACCTGTGCTGGCATGGGCTGTGCTCAGTTCTGGAATGCTGCAGGGAGACTCTCCGAAGCCAGTCACATGCAGATGGGGCTTCCGCGGCCAATACCTGGGGCCAGGGCCTTGGGGGCAGAGCCAGGTGCGTATCCACAGGTGCTTGTGATGAGCTCTGCCTGTCTGCGTGAGAGTGGAGGGCTCGGGTGGGCTCTGCACGGAGGGGTGCACGCAGAGAGCCTCCCGTGTGTAGCAAGCAGGGGAGATGCAAGGGTTACCACGGCCCCTGGCCTTGAGCAGCAGAGGTCAACAGCTGGGCCAAGCCTATAGTTCCTCCAGGGCCAGGTGTCGACTGTGGCTCGTTGACTCATTGTAAAGGCCATTGACTGAGCACCAGGCGGGTGCTGTGCGTGGCGGAAGGCAAGGGTCCCCGCAGCCCCCAGCTCTCAGCTGCCCTCCTCCTGTGAGTTGGACCCCCTCGGCCTCATGCCCTTCCTCCATAGGGATGCAGCGATGGCTCTTCCTGGACTCCTGTGCCTTGTGCAGGGAGGCTCCGACCGCTGGTGCCTTCCAGGCGTCTCTCCCCAGGCTCCCAGTGTCTGTGCTTTCGGAGGAGGACATCGAGGCTGGGGCTGTGTGCAGGGACCAGGGAGGGGCACAGGGCGCTTGGCAGGGTGAAGCCTGAACTGGGTGTTCAGACGCATTCCACCCCTCCCGTAAAGGCTTCTGTGTTCTCCAAATCATCAGCCACTTCTGATTTTTTAAAAGATTTATTTATTTTTACTTGAAAGTCAGAGTTACAGAGAGAGAGAGAGAGAGGTCTTCCATCTGCTGGTTCACTCCCCAGATGGCTGCAACGGCCGGAGCTGTGCCCATCCGAAGCCAGGAGCTAGGAGCTTCTTCTGGGTCTCCCACAGGGGTGCAGGGATCCAAGGACCTGGGCCATCCTCCACCACTTTCCCAGGCCTCAGCAGAGAGCTGGATCGGAAGTGGAGCGGCCGGGACTCACACCAGCACCCATATGGGCTGCCGGCACCACAGGCTGTGGCTTTACCGCTACGCCACAGCCCGATTTTTAATTTTGATGAAAAATTTTTAATTTTGATTTTTAATATTGATGAACATGAAGAGGTTTGAAAAGTAGGCAAGGAACGCAGATTTACAGTCATTTTTATTGGAAAGAGCACAGTAATTGGAAATTGCAGCTGTCCTGGAGAAAGGGTGATCGGGCATGGCATTTCTGGGTAACAACGAAACAAGAAGACAAACCCCTCACACGGAGGGGACCTGGGGGGCAGTGCACCCTGAGAAACAGCCCGGTCTTCGCTTCTGTGTTGTTCCAAAGCCACTTGTCGTGTGGGCCGGTTTTCTCTAAGTCGCCTCAAATTTTCTCTCTTCAGTCCTGGCTTTGTTTTCTCGGTGTGTGGGGATGTGCACGCGGACCTGGTGCTGGCATTGAAGTCAGCTCCGTGCCCATGGCAGGCTCCTGGCAGGGGTGGGGGGAGTCTGGCCCTGCCGAGGCAGCTGCCAGTGGGACTCAGAATGCAGCAAATCCATGCAGGCTACTTTGTAAGCTGGCAATTGCGCACGGCCCGCTGGTGACGTTGGAAATACCCCGATAGGACTGCAGAACAAAGGCTGCTAGCCCTGCCACTTGGGAAGCTTCAGGCCCTCTCCAGCCTCCGTTTTCTCACCCGCAGAATGTACTCAGGTGTCCCTGGGGGAAGTGAATGCGATAAACTGGGTGGAAAAGGCTGTGGACTTGGCCAAGATGAGGCCGGGGCCAGCTCCTGTCTGTGTTAACCACCTCCGCTAGCCCGCTGGCCCACGCCATGGAGGAGGGGCGGGGAGACACTGAGAGGGCCGGGTCTGAGCAGGAAACGGCTGCCTGGGGCCCCGGATGAGGGGGGACCCTCAGAGCCCCGCATGCTCTCACGCACTTCCCTTCTGAGGGCTCCAGGTCTTCACTGCAGCCGGGCGGGCCCTGGCCGCTCCGGGTCACAGCCCTGCCCTCTGAAGCCGCGTCCTTCGGCGCCCGCCGTGGCCGAAGGCTTGGGTCCTGCTCGGGCACCTGCGGCTCTCACCTGCCCCCAGCCCGCTGTCCTCGGCCCTCTCAGCCTTCCCAGCCTCCTTCCTTGGCACTCTCTCCTCTCTAATCACTCTGCCTTCCACCCTCGGCATGTCCTGTCTTGCTCTGAAGACGGGGAGATGAAGCTGGAGTGAGCGGTCTAATGACAGGAAGCTGCAGAATTCCTTCCGCTCCTGCGTCTAATCAGTGCCCTGACTTACTGCAAACCTTCCTGCCTAAGCGCCCCTGTCGATGCGCCTTAAATGCCTGCCAGACGCAGCTCCGAGCCAGTGCTACAGTTACTCCGGGCACGGGACCCTGGCTGAGCTCTCTGCAGCGCCAGCAATGTCCATGCCTGCCCTCGGTGCGTGTGTGTGTGCGGGGAGGTGGCCTGGCAGTGGCCGGGACAATTCCCATGGAGAGTTGGATAATAGCGTGGCCGCCTCTAGGGTCTCCTTCCCTGGGGAGCGTCAGGAGCCACAGCTGGCTCTGGGGAGGATCGGGGAGCTGCTGTGTGACCGACTGCATTTTGGGGAGCTCCGTGCACGCTCTGTGCTGCCTCGCAAGGTTTTCATGGCGTTCATGGTGGCCGGGAGCAGCGACGTGAGTTTTCAGGTTTGCAGACTGAGCCGCCCCTAACCTGCCAGCCCAGTGATGTGGGGGACGTTGAGTGGAGACCGGGTTGTGCCGCCGGCCGGCGAAGCTTCATCCCTTCAAGCAGGGTTGAAGGGTGCTCCCAGACGGGGGCCGGGAGGGAGCGAGGGGCTGAGGCCTCCAGACGCCAGAGCCCCAGGCTGCAGATGTGGGAGGGCACACGGGCACGCCGGGGAGTGTCGGCTGTGACGGGGGCTGCCTGCGCCCACACTCTGCGTGCGTGTGGGAATCAAGGTGGGCGAAGCTGGTGGCGCCTGCAGGTGAGTTGGTTGTCAGAAGAGACGGTGCCTTCGGAGGGAAAATCGAAGCCCTCGAGCTCATTAGCACAGAGCGTCACAGACACTTAGCACAGGAGCCTTGTCCTCCACAGCTCCTGTGCAAAGAGACGGGACCCGTTTATAAAAACCTCAAGTGGTTTCCCCGAGCTGGGAGAGCTCGACCTTGAATTCTCCTGTGTGGCTCGAGATCCCAGAGGGCCACAGCGCGGGACAAACGCATCATCTCTCCTGGGAACAACGCATGGCTTGGAAAGCATCCCAGCCTTCCGCGTTTCACAATGCAGCGATGGCGCCAGTGGCCCAGCCCCTGCTAACAGAGTGACGCCAGCCTGACAAGCACAGGACCTTGGTCCTTCGGGCCTTTGGAATCCAGCTGGCGAAGGGAGGAGCCCCTGCCTGGCTCATCTGGGCCTGTTGGCCCCAGGAGCAGGACGGCTGCCCTGGGCTCTGGGCCGGGATGTTGTCCCACATGGGTGTCATTGGCTGTGGGACAGCAGGGCCTGGGGGGACGGGGAGTCATCATTTCCGGAACATCTCTGCAGGCCGGCCTGTGAGCAAGAGCGCTCAGTCCTGCTGCTCATCCCCTCGGGGGCCAAGCCCCCTCCTCCCACCCCCATCCTCCCACCCGGCTCCCCCACCCCACTGCCTTCCGACCTGCAGCAGAGAGAAGGGTCCAGAAACCCACCAAGTTTCTGGCTGCTGCCCAAAGGCGGGGCTGGCATTGTGTCACTTGTGGAGAACCCGGTTTGGGGCAGGGACCAGGAGCCAGCTGGAGTTTCACCAAGCTAAGTGTGGGCATCTGCCAGCCACTCCATCCGGGGCTCCGAGGCGCACATGGAGATTCC